CAAAGGTTTCTCCAATAAAAACAAAAGTCCAAGGTAATTGTTCTTTGTCATGCCTTTTCATTACATTATCTTGAGGTTAAATTGGATATAACTAAATTTGCATTTGCACGAACAAGCAAAGATACCATTTAAATTTTCTATTAGAAAAGCATTCTATTGTTAGAGGATACTGTAATAGTAATCCCTTACAAGAGAACTGTTGTTTCGGAAATAAACAATATTTTCAAAATTTCGTTTTTTTAAATTACAGTTCCAGAGGCACCACGTAATTGTGTTTGTAAATCTCCAACAGACAGTGCTATAACACTTGATTGGGATGAACCTTCTCTACCTAATGGTGATTTAGTGAGATATCATATTATAGTATTGAAAACAAGTAACGATTTTCAGCTCAGTGATAAAACTATAGGAACTGAAACACAAAAAGTGGTTGGAAATCTACAACCAGGTAACTATGACATTATCAACATACTGTCATGGATGATATATTGTAAACGTTTTTTATATTAATAGTTATTTAGATAAGTTATAATACTTTGTTGTTGTTTTTTCATGATTTTAGATATAAATTCTTCTGAGTGGAACTTTTGAATTATTGTTTATTTCAGGAACATACTACATTTTTCGGTTATATACAGAAAATGAAGAATATAATTCAACAAATTATGACCAGGTATCATCAGCTTGCAAAACTAGAGCTAAGAGTAAGTATACACAGTGAATATTTGGAGTTTGAAATAAGAATAAATATTTGTTTACTTATCTTTGTTCACCACATACCCGTGCTTATTTTCAAATTACTATAAATGTCCAAAAGCTGTTACTAGAAGGCTGAGTTATATGCCTACTGACAAACGTTTCAAGAAAATTAAACTTGAGAAAAATGTACTACGATTTAAATAAATGTAGAAAGATTTTTAAGATTCAAATAATAATTTATATTTTATCTGCAATTATTGATTGATTAGGAAGTTTATCATCATATTTCTACTGTATGACTAACGTAATAAGTGCAATATTTGCATGTTTTGACATTAATTTGGTAATTACATGCATTGTGTGTTGCTACTTCGAACATGTTCTAAGGCGCAATTTCCAGAACGGCAGTGAAATGACCAAGGTCACTAATAGAGGTTAACATTTGAAATATATACTATATTTCTCCCCGTATCTGGATCATAAGTTTCATTAAAAGATTTTGACATTTCTTGGTGGAAATGTTCAAATAAATGATGTTCAAATGTCAAGTACATTCACAGAGTTCAGTTGTTTAGAGTCTATTTTATGTCTAGTCAATAACTTTGTCATTTCTTTATGGATTTTTGAAATAAGTTATTTGCATATATTATATGTTCACGGTAAAGAAACAAACACAGATTCTATTGTCAGGTAAAATCTTCAGGGATATTTGTCACATTTAACGACAAGTTTATGAAGCATCTCTTTAACAAGCATAAAAAATAAACACACACATGCATATTGTAAACCTTCCCTAATAGTATTTAAATTGGAACAACGAAATTATTTTGTAAATCTTTCAAGTTTTTTTTACAACACCATGTTTTATGCAGTAAAGAAAATGATAACATGGACAACAAAACATCTGAGCACTATTTGTAGCATACATCAATTGTTTGTCACTACTCAGGTTAAAATGCATGACATATTAAACGTTGTTTTGATACACCATATGTTTGCGATATGTAAAACATATGTGTTTCATATCATTTGAAAAATATTTGTAAGAGAAAATGTGTTTTTTATATTTATTAATGTAACTCGTGCTTATCACATGTTTTTTTATACAAATAAGATGTCATATCTTAAATATATGTGATTTTCATGTGTTTTTCATATGATAAATTTATTGATCATCAATATATTTTGCAAGCTTTGCACTTTAGACAATCGCAATTAGAGTCGTCATGACTGTACAGATTCTTGGTTTATGCATCTACGATGTACATCACAGTAAAAAATGCACAAAACGTTTAACATATGTTTGTCAAATGTTTTTTTATATGTGTAAATTACACACGTTCAACAAGGACCACATGAAAAACACATGTTAGCATACATATGTTAAACTCATACAAACTCTAACACTTTTATATGAATAAGTTCTCATAAATAAAATATGTTGTTTTTGTTTCATGTTATAACGACGCTTTAAATTGTACTCGTATAATCGCGGTGTTATATAATTTTATGAAAACGGCTGCTGTCAATTGTTGAAGACACCTCACTTTATTCTCTCTGAAAAAGGAAGTTTGCTGTATTATAAATTCTTTAAAAATATTTCTGACGGGTTATAGTGTCTTGGGTTAAATTTACAAACAACCGTTTACACAATGTCAAACATGTTTATAACTTATATTTTCTATACTTCTCATACCATGTTGAGAAGGTCCTGCTGGTCGGATAACTATTTGTAAACGTAAAACAACTTTCCATCAACTCTTTCATGAAAATCAGTACTGTAGATAAAATAAATAGATGTTATTATAGTTACAAACTATTAAAATAATACTTGCAAAATAGATACATAAGTTACAACATAAGTTAATGACGTAATTAATACTTCCTTGGCAGATGAGAAAAAATTGAGATCTTGGCAATGTTTTATCTGTCAAACAATGTTAAAGGTACTTAAATTTTAAACAAATGCTACATAAATTATCTTCCACATTATATGAAATTAATCTATGTATTACAAGTATTAAGAGCTGGTGTTCTATCAATTTGATACTTTGTAAAATGTATACAATATTCAAAAGTCCCTGATATTAAAATTCTTGTTTTCCAAAGGAGCTTTGAATCGTATAATTCTATAAGGAATTCTATGAATAAATACACTGGCATCAACTACGTCAGGTAATGACTGGAAAGTATCTAAAGGAATCTAGACCAGATGTTTAAATAGTTATTTTTACTGTGATATCTCGTAGTTTTCTTAACAATAAATGTACAAATTGTGTGCTCTACCAAAGTTGTCAATATGTACCTTAAATTGAGTGCTGTACACTGGTCAGATATTTTTTTAACAAATGTAAAAATAAAACAAAAATATTTGAAAGAACACTGCCTTTATTTTTATAAATTTAATTTAATACATAGTGTCTGAATCACCAACAAAGCTTGAAGTTACAGGAGTAACGAGTCGTGGTTTTAGTATATCTTGGGAGAAACCTGGAAATACATTCAGTGAGGAAAACTATGGTTATGTTCTACAGATTAAAGATGACACCGGCTCATGCTGGAAAGAAGTTATTTATAGATGCTCAGATTGTGCTGGTAATTTTCAAGTAAGTCTTTGATTAAAGTCATTTTTATATGATTTGTTTAACATTGTCGTAATTATTATTGTAATACAGAACACAACTATGAAACTTAATAGAGTTCAGAATGATTTTAGCTATCCCGTTTGTTTTTGTTTTTTTTTCTTTTTTCATAAGTCAGAATCACTCCAACTGAAGTTTCTATATTAAACTTCAACGACGTAGTTATAAGTCCCTGATCGAGATCCTTAACGCTGTTCTTACAGACTCGACATAGATCAATTAAATCTAATAAGAAAGTATTAATCTTCAAAACATAACAGTTATTTAATTATTGGGAAGGCTTTCACTTGTTAAAAAGTATTAAAAGTTGGAGTTTCCGTTTCACTTATAGAATTTTATCCTTTCACTACATCTAATCTTTTCTTTGTTATTGCCATCACGATTTTTATACATTATAGTTTTTAGTTTAGTATTAGTTTTAGGTCGGTTTTGTTTGCTATTTACTAGTTCGTTGTAGATTTAGTTTAATTGATCGTATGTGGTCCAGATAAGAGACAGGACTAATATAAAATAATCTATATTGATGCAGAGTACCGGTATCTATAAGTCTAGTTATATGATAATTATATCATATATCTCTCCTCTCCTTATAAGATTAGTATACATATGAATATCTGGTACCGACTATGTGTACATACAACTATCTGATCTATTTTATAATACTCCTGTCTCTTTCTAACATAAAACTAAATACAACAACGAAAAATAGAAACAAAAACCGACTAAAACTATACTAAACTAAAACTATAATGTATAAAATCGTGATGCAATAAACAAAGAAAATGGATTAGATGTAGTGAAAGGATAAAATTCTGCAAAGATAAGTGAAACGGAAACTCAACTTTTAAATACTTTTAACAAAGTGAAAGCCTTCCCAATAATTAATCTGTTTGTTTTGTTTGTATATCTTATCCTTATTATGGAGTTATAATTGCTTCTTGATTGAAAAAAGAACTCTTTACTTTTTAAGTGTGTGATTGTGAGTCAGTAGTCTGAGTAATGTGGGAAAAGTCTTTGTCGAGTCTGTAAAATAAGACAGCGTTAAGGATCTCGATCAGGGACTTATAACTACGTCGTTGAAGTTTAATATAGAAACTTCAGTTGGAGTGATTCTGACTTATGAAAAAAGAAAAAAAAACAAAAACAAACGGGATAGCTAAAATCATTCTGAACTCTATTAAGTTTCATAGTTGTGTTCTGTATTACAATAATAATTACGACAATGTTAAACAAATCATATAAAAATGACTTTAATCAAAAACTTACTTGAAAATTACCAGCACAATCTGAGCATCTATAAATAACTTCTTTCCAGCATGAGCCGGTGTCATCTTTAATCTGTAGAACATAACCATAGTTTTCCTCACTGAATGTCTTTCCAGGTTTCTCCCAAGATATACTAAAACCACGACTCGTTACTCCTGTTACTTCAAGCTTTGTTGGTGATTCAGACACTATGTATTAAATTAAATTTATAAAAATAAAGGCAGTGTTCTTTCAAATATTTTTGTTTTATTTTTACATTTGTTAAAAAAATATCTGACCAGTGTACAGCACTCAATTTAAGGTACATATTGACAACTTTGGTAGAGCACACAATTTGTACATTTATTGTTATGAAAACTACGAGATATCACAGTAAAAATAACTATTTAAACATCTGGTCTAGATTCCTTTAGATACTTTCCAGTCATTACCTGACGTAGTTGATGCCAGTGTATTTATTCATAGAATTCCTTATAGAATTATACGATTCAAAGCTCCTTTGGAAAACAAGAATTTTAATATCAGGGACTTTTGAATATTGTATACATTTTACAAAGTATCAAATTGATAGAACACCAGCTCTTAATACTTGCAATACATAGATTAATTTCATATAATGTGGAAGATAATTTATGTAGCATTTGTTTAAAATTTAAGTACCTTTAACATTGTTTGACAGATAAAACATTGCCAAGATCTCAATTTTTTCTCATCTGCCAAGGAAGTATTAATTACGTCATTAACTTATGTTGTAACTTATGTATCTATTTTGCAAGTATTATTTTAATAGTTTGTAACTATAATAACATCTATTCATTTTTATCTACAGTACTGATTTCATGAAAGAGTTGATTGAAAGTTGTTTTACTTTTACAAATAGTTATCCGACCAGCAGGACCTTCTCAACATGGTATGAGAAGTATAGAAAATATAAGTTATAAACATGTTTGACATTGTGTAAACGGTTGTTTGTAAATGTAACCCAAGACACTATAACCCGTCAGGAATATTTTTAAAAAATTTATAATACAGCAAACTTCCTTTCTCAGAGAGAATAAAGTGAGGTGTCTTCAACAATTGACAGCAGCCGTTTTTATAAAATTATATAACACCGCGATTATACGAGTACAATTAAAAGCGACGTTATAACATGAAACGAAAACAACATATTTTATTTATGAGAACTTATTCATATAAAAGTGTAAGAGTTTGTATGAGTTTAACATATGTATGTTAACATGTGTTTTTCATGTGGTCCTTGTTGAACGTGTGTAATTTCACATATAAAAAACATTTGACAAACATATGTTTAACGTTTTGTGCATTTTTTACTGTGATGTACATCGTAGATGCATAAACCAAGAATCTTTAAAGAACGTCTGTACAGTCATGACGACTCTAATTGAGATTGTCTAAAGTGCAAAGCTTGCAAAATATATGATCAATAAATTTATCATATGAAAAACACATGAAAATCACATATATTTAAGATATGACATCTTATTTGTATATAAAAACATGTGATAAGCATGAGTTACATTAATAAATATAAAAAACACATTTTCTCTTACAAATATTTTTCAAATGATATGAAACACAAATGTTTTACATATCGCAAACATATGGTGTATCAAAACAACGTTTAATATGTCATGCATTTTTACCTGAGTAGTGACAAACAATTGATGTATGCTACAAATAGTGCTCAGATGTTTTGTTGTTCATGTTATCATTTTCTTTACTGCATAAAACATGGTGTTGTAAAAAAAACTTGAAAGGTTTACAAAGTAATTTCATTGTTCCAATTTAAATACTATTAGGGAAGGTTTACAATATGCATGTTTGTGTTTATTTTTTATGCTTGTAAAAGAGATGCTCCATAAACTTGTCGTTAAATGTGACAAATATCCCTGAAGATTTTACCTGACAATAGAATCTGTGTTTGTTTCTTAATGGTGAACATATAATAGATCTATATGCAAATAGGTTATTTCGAATTACATAAAGAAATGACAAAGTTATTGACTACACATACAAGAGACTCTAAACAACTGAACTCTGTGAATGTACTTGACCTTTGAACATCATTTATTTCAACATTTCCACCAAGATATGTCAAAATCTTTTAATGAAACTTATGATCTACATAGGGGCAGAAATATAGTATATATTTCAAATGTTAACCTCTATTAGTGATCTTGGTCATTTCACTGCCGTTCTGGAAATTGCGCCTGAGAACATGTTCAAAGTAGCAACACACAATGCATGTAAATTACCAAATAAATGTCAAAACATGCAAAAATAGCACTTACTGCGTTAGTCGTTCGGTAGAAATATGATGATAAACTGCCTCATCTGTCAATAATTGCAGATAAAATATAATTTTTTAGAATCTTGAATCTTTCTACATTTCTTAAAATCGTAGTGCGTTTTCCTCAAAGTTGATTTTCATAAAATGTTTTAAGGTAGCATATAACTCAGCCTTCTAGTAACATCTTTTAACGTAGAAATTTTACATTAATTTTATAGTCATTTCAAACAACACACGGTTATATGGTGAGCATCAATTAGTAAACAAAGATATATTCATGTTTCATACTCAATAGATTCACTGTGTATACTTACTCTTAGCTCTAGTTTTGCAAGCTGATGACACCTGGTCATAATTTGTTGAATTATATCCTTCATTTTCTGTATATAACCGAAATATGTAGTTTATTCCTAAAAGAGGCAATATTCGATTAGTTATTTTTGGTAAAGTATAATCTTATATTATGAATTAGTTGAACAGCAAAATATTATAAATTATAGTAATATCGATTAAGATAAAAATGTTTACATTATATCATGCATGACAGTATATTGATAATATCATAGTTACCTGGTTGTAGATTTCCAACCACTTTTTGTGTTTCAGTTCCAGTAGTTTTATCACGGAACAGCACTTTGTTACTAGTAGTATTAATTACATCAATATGATATCTTCTTACATCACCATTAGGCAGAGAAGGTGCATCCCAATCAAGTGTGATAGAAGCGTCTGTAGGAGATTTACAAACACCATTACGTGGTGCCTGTGGAACTGTAATTTAACAAACAGAAAAATTGAAAATATCTTTTATTTATTAAACATTAGTTCACTTGTTATGACTTACTATTACAGTCTGATTTTATTGACCTGTCAATTATGAATACATTTTAGCACACATTTTAATATTCGATCTTACTTTGGTTTTGTCTGTTTATTTTACGAGAATATATATGGAGTATATAGCTAACGTTTGGAAAACTCCCACTACATTAATGTAGGTTCTCGTAACATCCGCAATAGCAAAGTCGGTTAAATGGTTTCCTAATGTATGAGACGTCCGAGGTTCGATCACTTCTTTTGACATTTTTTCAGATGTCACTTTTTTTTAGACTTATTTTTTCTTTATTTTAAGTATATTACAATGAAAATGGTCAAGCGCTTTCAGTATTCTCTACACAGATATGAAACAACTAAGAAACACTAAATTGTCACGTTTTGTATTGTATTTTACGGCACTGAAATGACATTTATTGATCTTAATCCGAATGAATTTTGAATATTAATTCTTTAACAATGTTATATACAAAAGTATAGTATTAACAAAAAAGTGCGAAACCTATTAAAACAGAAAGAACAAACCTTAACTTCAAAAATGTTGAAAATAGTCAGAATAAGAAAAAAAGCCTGGAGGACATACGCTGTCTCGATCTTACAACACGTTGGACAAATAGAAATTATATACCCGTAGTTTACCCTATTACGCTATAACGGTCAGTGTATTGAAACGGCAATGCATACAAATCAGATCAATTTAATCATATCTTACTGCTTAAATCTCACGGAATTTACCGAACATTTATCGAATATTAATATATTCTGTGCATTGACCGTATAATCATTATGGAATTGACAGGTTAATAAAATCAAACGATACCGTCTTAGTATCCTTAACAATACAATGCTTTTATAATACCAAAAATTGAATGATCCTTTCCTTCTTCATGCAAATGCAATTAAATGTACCCAACATTACCCTTATATAATGTAAAATGAAAAGGCATGATAAAGAACTGTTACCTTGAACTTTTGTTTTAATTGTAGAAGTCTTTGTCTCACTCCATAAATAGTCTCCATTAAACAATTGACTTCTTGCTGTTACACTTACATTATATCTATAACCATTCAGTACATTGTTAAATGTTGTTGATACATATGAGGCGTCTCGGGAGCCTTTCTGTGTATCACCATCAAATAACTTGACTCTATATAACGTTATTACACCAGTTCCTGCTGTCCATTTAATATCAATGTTTCCATCACTAGCATCTAAATCATTTTCTGTACTTGTTACAGGACCTGGAATGCTCGGTTCTTAAAAAAAACAAAAAGTTAAGAATGAAAGGGAACATTTTTCTACATTTTTTGAACAACAATTAAACATGTTAATGATACAAAAAGTCATCTTGTCGCTTCTAAAATTCAAATAAATGTCCAAATCTCATATGGTCAAAAAATGCTCAATACTATTCTATATTTAAAAACAATTCATTACATAATTACAACTCTAAGTGAAAATAGTAAAAATACAAAACATGGTCCCATTGCCATCATAAGTCTATCTTTTTTATCTTTGTTTCCTCTTTTTTTAAATATTAAACTATGCTGTTCACAGTAAATAAGGTAGAGAAATGTATTTTTTATATTTTATTTGTTGTTTACTAAACTACAGTTACCGAAGCAAGCTTAAATGATGGATCCCATATAGGTATCATATATTGGGTACCTTACAATTTCTAAACACTTTATGCATGACTCATTTATGTATTATTATAATTATTAGTTACTTGATATAAAAAACATAAATAAAACACAATGAATATCCATCATTTAAACGAGTATGAGGCTGGGTATATGCACTGTATACTTACTGATAATATATGTCTAAGTAAAACATGTTGCTGCTTAAATATTGAATTCGTGCTGATGTAATATATATTTCGAGGTCACACTCAGAGGTCATTGAAAACGCTTGTCCGGAGCAAAACTTCTACATGCATAGGGGGATTTCAATATAACTTGGCACAAATATTAAATATTGTGGAGTGTCGCGCGCAAAATTTAGGTCCCTGCGGTAGAGGTCAATGTCATACATAGGAGTCAAAAGTCAGATAAAAAATCACTAGAGATGATAATATAGTATATAGAGCATATCTCTTTTATGCATGTGTATTATAAATGTCCACATCTCTGTCAAAAGCTTCTGTGACGGGCGTATATTGCGACAATGTTGCCCTTGTTTCAAATTTGGTACACACTTTAATTTTTACAAATATTTTTATATCTTGTAAGGGGGCAGGTGGACCTACAATGAACAATTTTGTAGTTCAATGTGTCCAGAATCACAATTCCAAATATTTCAAAATAAATATGTTACACATGAAGATAACCAGTTGCACAGCATTATTCGAGGACATATGACATACATTGAAGAAAATAACAGTTTGCATGCATTGTTTCTTTAAATAATGACTAACAGCAATTTATATATGTCCCAACCCGACAAAAATCACACCTGAAATATATTAATAGGGGCCATCTTCATGAAGGTGCAGGATACTCCAGAATTCGCCCGATCCCTTAAAAAATATTTCTAACACACAGTGCAATCAACGGCTTTTTAAAAATTCCAACTGTCGATCATACGTTTAGATTGTTAACAAATTTATCCAAAGTTTTTTACTTGTTTGGTACCAACTGTCATAGCTTGATTTTTTACTTTTTACCTTCATTCGTAGAGTCAAAAATACATACAAAGATACCAAAATGCTCGGGAAAAAACCCCAAAAAATACTGCCCATTCCCTACACACAAACAAGAAACACTTACAATGACATAGATATCAAAAGTTTCCAGTGCCATCAAAACGCCATGTCTGAGTTATTAAAAGATTTGACCGGCCCATCATTCGGATATGTCATTTGCCCCCTAAGTGGACGAGGCAAGTCAGCACCGGAATTTACCTAGTGCACTTCTATGTTTTTTAAAGATTTATAAACGTAAATGTAACAATTTCCTAAATCAAACAGCTTGTATGTTCTTAGTTTGTTTTACCTCTTTATGTTAACAACTTAATTACAATTATTATAAATGATGATTAACAAAACACAATAGACATATTACACAATACAACTTTTGAATCGAATTAATGATGAAAAACCATTCTACATAATTTTTGTCAATAGGATATTATGTTTATATAACGAAAACAAAACATATCTTACACCTGGTATGTCCCTTTAACAACCACAGTAGCTTAAAATGTATTATGTTTCATCAAATTGTTTGACATTACTAAATGATATGCATAATAATGTTTTGAAGTGCTTACTTGCAGATTGTTGTTTTGATGTATAAGTTGTCCTTGTAACACCAGGTTCTGTGGCTGTATCTTTTGATATCACTTTAACTACGTACGTTTTTCCAGGTGTCAAACCTGTCACCATCTGAGGAGATGTTGCACCTACCACCTTACCACCACTTTCCCATTCTACATCATATCCACTTACATAACTAGATCTAGTAGGTGCAGTCCAAGATACAGTAAATTCTGTGGTTTTTGTATTTGGAAAGGTAATTCCTGTTACCTGAAGTTCTTGAACTGAAATATAACAAATGAAATGAATTGTTTTAACGTCTGAGGCATTCACTACATTATCAAGAATTATATATGATCCGTTATATGTAATAAGTTAGTACATGTATATAACACCACATCATATACATTTTTATGCATAGATTTAAGCCGATTGGCTTGTGTGGTTGAAATCAAAAACAAACAAATGTTTTTTAAAAGTTACTTCCCCTTTCTATGATTGTATGATATACAGCACTTAACTGAAGCTGCTTTGTATTACTGATTTTGAAGTAGATCTCTGACTTTACTAATTGTCAAAGTAGGAAATATAAAATTATTCTATGAAAAATATTAGGATCTTTAATTGAATGAACCAGCACTGGTGGATTATGTTGGCATACATTATGCATCATGTCATTGTCAATATACAAAGTTTGTTCGTAGATGTCAACAAGGCAATGATACATGGCAAAATATTTAAACTCTAGGCATTATTTATTCACAAAATAAGACTGACATGTGTTTTCTCATGCATGATTTTATTAATAATTTTACAAATTGACCCTCAGAGCAGGGCCAATATTGACCCAAGGGGCATGAGTTATACCAGTTATTTTGTGGTACACAAACTGATACTACATGCCATATATCTAAGCTTTGGGCATCATTGTTTCATACAATATGTCAGATGTGTTTTCCTATATTAGTATATATAAATTATATGAGTCCTGGGTATAGGCCAATGCTAAACCAAGGGGAATGATTCATATTAGTTTTGTAAAGGTGAATGACGCAATGATACATGTTAAATATCTAAGCTCTAGACATTGTAGTTTAACATAAATGTGTTTTCTTTTATAAATATCTGGAAAATAAGTGATCCATCGGAAGTACTGAAAACTGCAGATATCATAGAAATTGCCGTCTCGGTTTGATTGAGTCCGTACATGAGGTATATTAAAAAATGTAACATCCCTCAAGCATCCTAGCACCGGCTTGAGTGGTGTTCAATTCTCAACACTTAAACATGCAGGACTCAATCATTCCGAATGACCAGAATAATATAACAACACTGAAGTGAAGTACGGGACTACGGGATAGAATCTATCATTGGGTTAGAGGATAGGGAAATCCCAACCCTCGGGCAATCGGTTCCATCGGGAACTCGCCTTGATAGAGGATAGGGAAATCCCAACCCGAGGGTGATCGGTTCCATCGGGAAAGAGCCTTGGCGAGTTCCCGTTGGAACCGATTGCCTGAGGGTTGGAATTTCCCTTTCCTCTATTTAATCCAATGATTGATTATTTTTCTCACTCACCAGGACACATAAGAAATCAGTGAAACTACTTGCTACGCGCATTACAACGTAGCTAGTTTTGAAAAGCGGGGCGGGGCTTAGGCGCGTGACTTTCTATGATTAAAAGTCCGCAAAAAATTCTACTGACCAAGTTAATGAGTGAAAATTCAATGAAAATAAATTCATATGAGATCCCTCACCAAAAAGCAAGGTGATCATGATAAAACACATCAATATTAAAGTCGGAAAGTGTCATAATATAAGTGTTTATATAAGGAATTCAGTCCATACTTCAAAATGGTTGACAGAAAGGGTTTACCGTTTGCAAAGATTTTTCTACTTAATCGGTTATTTTGGTCGAATATTCAATTAAAATATATCAAAATGAGATTCGTCATCAAGAAGCATCGGTATCATAAAGGAAAACATGGATGTTTTTCAGGCAAAGTGTCATTATATCCAATTTAAAGAAGAATTTTTCGATATTTTAAAGTGTGCTATTTTTAGTAACAGATCGATATTGAAAAGAGTAGGACTCATTGCACCGTGAAAGTTAATATCAATCTATTTTGATTCCGTGGACAATTTTAATAGATTAGCACACATATTTTTAATACATTTTGACCTTTTGATGTTTCATTTTTGTTAAAATAGGAGTGAATATGTGTAGGAATACGTTTTTAGAAGTGCTGCACGTTGAGTGTGAAATAAGGCCATGTTAGATAAGATTTTCCAACACCGCTATTTTTAGTAACATTTACGGATTTTTCTATCTGGTTAGTGAGAAAACAATAAGTCTTTATAATAATAATGTACGTTTGTAAGGGGGCTTTCCATTAGATGATTGTGATGTTTACATAGTTATATATAGAGGGCTTCTTTCATTTTATAAAGATATCTCACTTTTTTCTCTAAAAATGATGTTTGCTGTATTTTGAATTCATTATAAAAGGTTATATGACCGTATATAAACGAGTGTTCAAAATATAACCCATGTCTAATATATAAGGTCATGTCTAATATAACCTGTCAAAATTCTTAAAAAGTAATAGTATAAATAGAGTAATCAAGACACGAAAATTTCAAATTTATGAAGAAAACCAAGTGTGAACTTGACTCTGCATAACGTCTCATTATGTTATGGAATTAACTTTATTGTACACTTTAGGTCGATTGACACCCCCCCCCCCCCAATTCCTAATAGGTTGTGCAGATAAACAAACAGATGCATAACAATATACGCCAAAAATGTCCAATCTTAAAGTTTCTGGCTGGCAGCGAAATGGAAACAGACAACATGACTGTAGTTATACCTGTTTTAGAACGTTGAGTTAAAAATACACTTAAGACTAATCACTGTAAATATTAAGATCTGAGATCATATAAATATTGACGTTTTTACTGCTTGTTAGTAATCAAAATGAACTTTACCTGTTCTGCAATTACTTTGTGAGTTCCCTTCAAAGAAGCGGTAATAGCCGACTTTACATGTACATTTACTGTTAATACATTCAGCATTTGGATCAGAACATTCATTCTGTACACCTCCCTGACAATTGCCACCAAGAGCAATATCTGAAATAAGATAACACATTGTATAAATAATAGATATTAATTAATAAATCTAAAAAATAATTGTACATCTTATTAGATTAGAAATTTTTATACTTTATATTTTTATATTTTTCTCAGTAATATCAGATTCTATCAATATTTTAAGCAAAGCGCTTTTAGTGGACAGTTCAATATTAATTGATAATTAAGCACATTATTAATCAATAATATTTTATTAAGAGGATCTACATAGATTGATGATTTAGGTCAAAATTAAGATGAAACACGTTTTAGTAATAGCTAGAATGTTTTATTATTGAGAATTATTTAGCAGTACTATATATAATGAAGAGAATTCTAGCTAAAATAACATTTCATCAGTTTAATTTCATCATAGGCAGCAGATGAAAGTTCTGATTGCTTGTTTTTTATTTACATAATTCATTTAAAAGCACATTATTCCTCTGAAATGAAAGCATTTGTGCTTTTTTATATAGAGCAAAAACGAGTTCTGTAACTTTTTTAATAATGGTTCGTGAGCATGTGAAATGCTTATCACCTGAAAAAAAGTAGCGTTCCGTTTTCCAAAAATACTTAATATTCTAACTGTAACGCTTTTCACACAAATAGGACTAAGAGAAGCACAAAATCACCAATTTTCAATTTTGTTTCGAGTATATCTATTAATTAATTAATCTTTTGCATCTCTTTCTGTTTAAAGTTCCAAAGCTGATCTTTATAAGATATTTAATTTCTATTTTTTCCGGGTTTTGGACCTCAGTGCAGTTCCTTTAATAGTACATGTCCATTATGTAAAATTCAATTCCATGTACATGTACATAAAATTGTTCGTTAATTACTTATAAATATTGAAGATATAGCTTTCTTCCCCTTTGTAGATTGTCAAACAAATCCCTTTCAATGTCTACAGTTTTTATCTGCAAGTAACGTTACTTACTTGGTTGACATCTACTTCCATCTTGATGATAACGATCATCACAGGAGCAGATATAGGATGACTGTCGACAACTTGCATTTTGGTCCACACACTGTTTACTATTCGGATGGCTACTGGAACAAAAAGCTCCAAGATTTCTCCCTATAATCATACAATTACATTCACTGTGAACATAATTCACAAACATGTTTTTACTAAACAACTAAATAAAGCTTTTAAAATATCTCATGCTGAAACCATGCTGAACTGACCTTGATTTCCTAGTTTGTGTAAAAAATCAAAAAGTGTTTTCATTTTTTGAAAATTTGTCTCAAGAAAAAGTTAATAAGTTTAAACAATATTTCAAATCATATTCAAAAAGAAAATACAAATTTATACAAAAAGGAGTAGAAAGCTAAACATTTTTAAGAATCTCTCTTCTTGAATTCAATTACAAAGTAAATTGAAAGTGCTTTTGTTTCATATTAAATCATAAACAGAAATTTCGATTTTCACAATTTTACATGCATCAGGATGTGGAAGTAATTAACAGCTTTTGTATACAACATGTATAATACAAATATCAAATAAACATACTTGTCTCACAAGTACCTCCAATGGTACTGTCAGTGTTTGTATCGTAATATGTGTCAGTACATCTACACTTGCTTCCAACACATTCAGCCCGAGTTGATGAACATGCATTTGCAATAGGACAATTATAGCCAAGGCCAACCTCTAAAAATATAAAAATGTATGAATTTCATTGCCATAAACTATTTAAATACCATTGAGCATAGATGATACAACTTCATACTAAAATACAATTGAAACAACTTTTGAAAACTGACTTTATTATACATGTTTCTCATATATAAATATCATACATTTGTAGACATGAAAAAGGGCCAAAACGAATTAAATTACTTCTTTAAAAATTGCATATAATTTTAAAAAAGAGTCAGAAGGCCAACTTTATAAAACCTGGATGCATACTGTAACTTAAGTCATGCTAATAAACGTAGTTTATATTTGTCTTTTTTAATTCAAATAACTCAAAAAAGGCCATTAATAACCATTTTCTTAATTTCGTCAATAAGTGTGTCCCTTTTAGGAAAATATATGGGTTTTGTTTTGAAATACCAGTGTAAAATACTACTGCAGGATAATCTACATATTTTACAGTATCTGTCATTGACCTATTATGTAATTTATGACACTTACTTGGTGTACATATTCCACCAATGTTATTTAAACCATCACTGTCATAGTATGAACTTGTACACTGACAAGTGTTTCCACTTTTTCCATTACTTTGGCATCTAGCATTTCTATCAGCACAAGTTGTTCCAGAGTGTGAACATGATGCTCCAAGAGAAGCCACTAGACGCAAATCATATCAACATACTTTTATAAGTTATTGTATCTTATATCTAAGTATCTCTAAATGTTATTCCGATGGATGTACTTCTATTAAATGTGACAAATTGGTTTCCCATTAGATGGCGCCAAAAGAGAAAATGACTTAGTTTTGCTGTTTTCCGTACCATTTTGATGTCAAATTTTCTCTGGTTATGCATTTGTTAAGTCTAATCAATAATAAATATACAACAACTTAAAAGTGTTTAGTGAACATGACGTGTTGTCTTCACAACCATATTTTTGCAAAGAATGTCATTTTCGGTTAGAATGTTTTACTCTCAGTTTAAAGTTGTATATTTTTTGTTCTCAATATTTCTTTATTATAACCAAAGATTCATATAGGACAACACCCGTTTTAGTAATAAAGGTGTATATGTAATTGCTAGTTAATAGATCTAGAAAGTTATGGCTTGCAACATGAAAATCTTCTCAATGTGTACTATATCTGAATAATTTAAACAAAATCATTTGGAATGCTATAAACTTATGTACGATTCAAGGATGAAATGTTTTATATCAAATGCAACAAAGGACATGACTATTTAATTTAAAAAGAAGAACGAGGACAGGTAATTAATACGCCAATCTTCTTTTGGTTTATTGGACACTTATGCTTCCACATCATTTAAGTGCTAAAATATTATATGATATTATAGTATTGTAATTTAATAAGTTTATAATCCTTTGACAGATTAAACTCTTGTTCTTGATTCGAAAATAAGTTCATGTGTTTTTGTAGCCTTAACTTAAAGACCGCTTAATTATTGACTTCAAAAAGAATATTGGTAATCTTCAAGTCATGACCAACTTTCAAACTAAGGACTGTAGGCAAAAGCTCTATCTGGTCAATAGTCAAAAGATTATAGTGGTTAGGCAATGGTGACCTTAAACCCAATAACCTTAAAATCAAAATGTGTCTTCTTCTAGTCAAAACCAATCCCTGCACTAAATCTTAGGTCCGTCAGCCTAAACAATATCTTTTTGTTGCTTTGACAAGCTAATAATATTCAAGGCTATGGTGACCTTGACCTCTGACATTCAAAAACAAAAGGGGTCATGAATGAGTCATGAGCAAAATCTCCGACTTTTTAAGTTTGAGCAAAGTGCTCCACATGAGAAATTTAGTTCCAGTTGTAACTGAGACATGGTACAAACGTGGTGGGGTAAAGCTTTGTGTTCCATTATGCGCAACTTTTCCTCATACTGAAGCTTTTGTTAGTGGTAATGAGAAAAATTCATACCAAAATTATAAGACAGACAAGGAATAGGGAACATACTAATTAAAGACAAGTGAAAACCGTAAACTTGATTAATTTAAGTATGTTTATAAAATACGAGAAAATGCAACACTTGCCACAAGTCATTTAAAACTTTTAAAACTTTACAAACGGAGTTAAGCACAAGACAAATGTTTATAACTTTCCAGTACACATCATCCAGTTTAAAAAGAGCATAGATTAAAGTAAAATTAATTTTTCATCATGACATCTTGAGTATGAGTACATTTTTTAAATTACCTTGACAATTTGTACCAGAGTATCCATTTGTACATGAACAACTATATGCATTAACCAGATTTGAACATGTACCCCCATTCTTACATGGCCCTGGTGCACATTCATCTATATCTAAAATAAAAAAAAAATGTTCAAGTAATTAAACATACATATAAACAAAAGTTATATTGTCCGTATAAATAATGAAAGATATAAATTATTCAGAAATGAAGATACTGCAGCAATAGTTTTATTAATTACCTAACAATGTTAATGGTCTCCCAAGGGAGAAGGCATAATTATCTTGGTTAACATTTGGAAATCAAAATTTACTTTCTTTTCAAACTTATGTTTTTCATACCTACACTTGCATGTACTTCATCTATCTTGTCTTGATTTCAAATTAATGTATCTAGGCAATATAAGTTACTTATACCTCTTATACTCTAGACCAAAATTCAGTAGATTTTATTTGCCACTCCAGATACAAGTACTTTTTAATGTTCCTATATGTTGTATTATTTATTTTCATATACCTATATTCTTCATACTTAATTGTTCTACTTGTAAACAGTAATATTTAATTTTATACTGAACTTCAATTTGTTCATATAATTTTACAAAACAAATGTCTCTCCATGATTTTTGCGTTTTGTTCATATAAAAAGTGCATATTTATAATACAGAAGTAGTCAAACCATTAAACTAAAACGACATCACAACATAAACATTTTCTGGGAGAAAAGCTTGATAATTAAACCTAATGTATGACATAACGTTTGTGTTAAACAATATTTTACAACAACAAAAGCCTGAAGTTAAGAACAGCTTTTCAATTGTTTCTAATAATAGAAATTAATTGTTGTTTATAGTGACATTTTTGTATTGTAAGCTAAGAAAATGACTGTCACACTTTGCATGTAAGATTTAGCAATCTATATAATTATTTGTAATAAGACAAATGTTATTTTAATGTAAGGCGTATCAAAGAATCCCTCTTTTATTTAGAAGAGTATCTTTTCATTGTTACAAAAATCATTTATATCACTGTATTTTGAATTTCATAAAATAAGTTGCTACATAACTATAACCCTTTGCTACATAAACATAACCCTCTGCACATAAATATAACCCTCTGTTTCATAAATTCTAACCCTCTGCTACATAAATATAACCCTCTGTTACATAAAAATAACCCTCTGCTACAGAAATATAACCCACTGCTACATAAATTTCACCATCTGCTACATATACATAATCATCTGTTACATAAACATAACCCTCTACTACATACAAATAACCCTGTGCTACATAAACATAACCCTGTGCTACATAAACATAACCCTCTGCTATATCAAAAATAATCCCTCTGCTACTTAAATATAACCCTCTGCTACATAAATATAACCCTCTGCTTCATAAATGCAAAAATCTGCTACATAAATATAGCCCTCTGCTACATAGGCATAACTCTCTGCTACATAAATATAACCCTCTGCTATATAAATACAACCGTCTGCTTCATAAACATAGCCCTCTGCTACATGAATATAACCCTCTGCTACATAAGCATAACCCTTTGTTGCATAATAACAACCCTTTGCTACATAAACATAACCCTCTGCTACAGGAATATAACCCTCTGCTACGTAAATATAACCCTCTGCTACATATATAAACATAACCCTCTGCAACATTAATATAACCATCTGCTTCATAAACATTACCCTCTGCTAAATAAACATAACTCTCTGCAACATTAATAAAACTTTCTGCTACATAAACATAATCCTCTGCTATATAAACATAACTCTCTGCTGTATAGATACAACCCTCTGCTACATAAATACAACCCTCTGCTCACTTAACATAACCCTCTGCTACATAAATATAAGTTTCCGCTAGCGCCTTATAGGCTTGATTATTCTCCCGTATATCTCGTCAACAACTTACATAACTGAGAATTCACTGGTATTTTTTAATTTTCAAGGACAGTGTTTGAATAAAATATTTTTCAGAATTTTCTCTGTTATTTCCAAAATGACCTTAAAATAATTGAGAATACCAGGTATGTCTATTTATTCAAATCTTATCTTTATAAGTTTCTATCAGTTAAAATCCTTTTATATTAAACATGTTAAAGGGAAAGAGTATATAGAAAAATATATTTATAGTTACCAGAACATGTCACTCCATTCCCAGTATAGCCAGGTTTACATGTACAAATAAAACTCCCTTGAGTGTTTGAACAGTCTGCATTGTTGTGACAGTTATCACCATTAGTTGAGCATTCATTAACATCTGTAAATAAAAAAGTTTTTCAATCGTTTACATATATTTAGAATGAGGTATAACTTTAATTGGTGCCTAAAGTGGTAACTGATCTTTATTTCTGGCTTTTCCAACCATTTAGAGACGTTAAAAATTTTGACATACTTGTATGTAAGTAATTTCTAATCAAAAAATTAAAAAAGTTTGGTAATGACTTTTATATATAATATGTATTTAAATCTGGACAAAATGTAATCCCTAAAAATGGAACCATAAATCACAATACAATTACATGACACTTGCAGACTCGGTGTGATTGTGTCTGCACATGAGGGATAATGAAAAAAGGCAACATCCCTTACGCACTCTAGCACCAGCTTGAGCCATACTCTATTTTCAACACTTAACAAGAGTGATCAGTGATCTCTTTGGTCGCCTTGTAACAAAAAAGAATTCAGCCTGCAAGTGTCATGTAATTGTATTGTGATTTATGGTTCCATTTTTAGGGATTACATTTTGTCCAGATTTAAATACATATTATATATAAAAGTCATTACCAAACTTTTTTAATTTTTTGATTAGAAATTACTTACATACAAGTATGTCAAAATTTTTAACGTCTCTAAATGGTTGGAAAAGCCAGAAATAAAGATCAGTTACCACTTCAGGCACCAATTAAAGTTATACCTCATTCTAAATATATGTAAACGATTGAAAAACTTTTTTATTTACAGATGTAATATGCCCAAAAACTTGAGCTACAGATCAATCTTGCAAACTTTCGTTGAAAATGTATTAATGGTATAGCATGAGTAGTGCGGACATATTTTAATATTAAAATCATTAAAAAGGCCAAAACTCTGACAAAAATCATTAAACCAAAACATTTTGATGAGATGCACAACTAAACTGGTATTGATCATTCCCCTTAAAGTTTGATGAAATTGCACCAGCAGTTTTTCGGAAGTAGTCCAGACAAACTTCCTTGCTGGAAACACGAAAAAACATCTGTTTTTTTTAGGGCAATACCTCAGCCAAAAATCATTCAAGCAAAAACAAAAAACATGTGTGTTATGCACAAGTACTTGACCTACCAATCAATCCTGTAAAGTTTCATTGCAATTGCATTTGTGGTATAAAAGGAGTAGTCTGGTAAAAATTTATAAACATTCATTTCATTCTAGGGCCATAACTTGGGCAAAAATCATTCAAGTAGAAAAATCGTGTAATATGCGCAAGTATTTGGCCTACAAATCAATCCTGTAAAGTTCAATTTAAATTGCATTAGTGGTATAAGAGGAGTAGTCCGGGCAAACTTTAGAATAAATGTTAAGCTGATTTGAAGTATAAAAATCTGGACAAAATGTGATCCCTCGAAAGACAATATTTTAAAGAGTGTTGTTTGTATATCTACTTCTGTACATATTGTCTTTTAACCTTTTACCACATTAGCATATTGTAAAAAATGGCCGTTTTCATTAAAAAGCCTCCTGTTACAAGTTCAGCTGCTATGAAACCATGAAAAATGCCTCAATACTGATGTAACTTGGCACAAAATGTGGACTGGACCATAGCCTCTGTTACAGCATGCTCAATCTTAAATTTCAAGTTACCATGGCAACGGGGAGACGTCTCAAAATTGTCAAAAATCACTTATCTCCATTGTTTTTTCCATCCAAACTGATTTCAAAGTGCTGCAAATTCTCAACGGATTAAGAAAGAGTCAAAGGCTTTTCAGGGTTGGTTACACGTTACCTTATGATCGACATGGGGTCATTTTTAGCCTCTCACAAGTCCAAAATTTTCTTGGAGATGATGGGGACTGCCGCCTCCTTTCCACACCCCCAAACAGAAGGGGCACATCACTCTTCTGGCAACCCCCTGATGTACCTTTATGATGGGGGGCGGCTTCGAAAAAGTGATCACTTTTTAACAACATTTCTCAAACGAAAAACGGTGTTTGAGGCCTAAATAGGGCATTTTTTTCACTGTTTGAGGCCTCAAAAAGGGGGGTGAATAGCCGTCAAAACACGCTTATATGAGGGAAAAGGTTAAAATTTCTATCTGTAAAAAGAAATGTTCAGTCTGAGAATTATATAAACAATATCATTTTACTTATAATTCAATTTATATCTGTTCCTGTTCAAGTTTAAAGTCTTAAAGATTTTTTGCAATGCCATTAGTTATATTGTGGCATTTGTAATAAGACTAATTCATGAATTTGTTGAGCATCTATGTTCACAATCAATGTAAAGGTGAAGGTTTATTATAATGATATTTACCAGAACATGTACGTCCATCTCCAGTATAACCAGTTTTACATTTACATGTGTAACTCCCTATAGTGTTCGTACAATCAGCATTAGCATTACAGCTATGTGTACCTTGTGTACATTCATCAATATCTGTAAAAAGAAATGTTTCACTTTTAGATATACAGTTTAAACTATTTTAATCTTAAAAATCACAATACTTTTTCTTGAGTTGAACATTTGTTTTATAGTTACATAAGCATTTTGAATTCACACAAATGATATGATGTAAGTGATAATGTTAGTAATAACTCGATGATAATGAGAAAAATTGACACCAAAGTGTACAAACTCTGATAGTGGTATGATGTTGTCAATCTGAACTGTAGAAACAAAATTGAGGAAAACCAGAAAAATATATAAAATGATTAATTTACAACTTTTTTACAACATTGAACACAATAATTTTCACAGAAAAACTGCCAAATTAATTTTGTTTTTTGAATAATTCTTTAATACAGGGTATAATCATTGCCAGTAACTTGGGGTAAAACTTTTAGATATTTTATTGGCTTTAAACTAGAAAAAAACCTTTTCGATTTTAAAGACTTGAATGGACTATTGTAGAAGAAAATCGAAATCTGGTATCATATCAAATAATGATGGTTAGTATCAAAATCATTTTTCAATAATTGTACATTATGTTAGGACTTTATTGTTTCAAAGCTGTATAAAGAATATTAGTTTGACAACTTGACTGCAATAAAAAAAATTTAAACGACTTAAAATGCATTCTTTTTACAATTGAAAATAAATTTCCGTTCTTTATAAAAACAAGAGGGCCATGATGGCCCTAGATCGCTCACCTGAATTATCAAACTCATCCAAACAAGTACCTAGACAAGCATTCTGACCAAGTCTCATGACAGGTGAGTCAAAAATGTGACCACTACAGTGTTAACAAGGATTATCCTTATTTGAGCAGTGCGACCTAGTTTTTTACCCAGGTGACACATATTCAAACTTGACCTAGAAATCATCAAAACAAACTTTCAGACCAATTTCCAGGATACTTGGATCAAAACAGTAGCAACTAGAGTGTTAACAAGATTTTTCTATTTTTAGCTCCGGTGACCTAGTTTCACATGCGATTTCGAACTCATCCAAGCAATTACCTAGACAAGCATCCTGACCAAGTTTGATGATAATTGAGTCGAAAATGTGACCATTAGAATGTTAACAAGGTTTTTCCATATTTGGGCGGTGTGACCTAGTTTTACATCCAAGATGACCCATGTTCGATCTTGACTTAGAAATCATCAAAACAAACTTTCAGACCAATTAACAGAATATTTGGATCACAACAGTAGCCACTAGAGTGTTAACAAGATTTTTCTATTTTTAGCTCCTGTGACCTAGTTTTTCATCCGAGATGTCCCATGTTCGATTTATTCCCAGCAATGACCTAGACAAGTTTCCTGACCAAGTTTGATGACAATTGAGTCAAAATTGTGACCACTAGAGTGTTAACATGGTTTTTCTATTTTTAGCTCCTGTGACCTAGTTTTTCATCCGAGATGACCCATGTTCGAACTCATCCGAGCTATCACCTAGACAAGCATCTTGATCAAGTTTGATGATGATTGATGCAAAAATGTGACCGCTAAAGTGTTAACAAGGTTTTTCTATTTTTAGCTCCGGTGACCTACTTTTTCATCCGAGATGACCCATGTTCGAACTCATCCAAGCTATCAACTAGATAAGCATCCTGACCAAGTTTGATGATGATTGATGCAAAATGTGACCGCTAGAGTGTTAACAGGGTTTTTCTATTTATAGCTTCGGTGACCTAGTTTTTCATCCGAGATGACCCATATTCGAACTCATCTGAGCTATTATCTAAACAAGCATCCTGACAAAGTTTGCTGATGATTGGGTCAAAAATGTGACCACTAGAGTGTTCACAAGGTTTTTCTATTTTTAGCTCCTGTGACCTAGTTTTTCATCAGAGATGACCCATGTTCGAACTCATCCAAGCAATTGACTAGACAAGCATTCTGACCAAGTTTGATGATGATTAGTTCAAAAATGTGACCACTAAAGTGTTCACAAGGTTTTTCTATTTATAGCTCCTGTGACCTACTTTTTCATCCGAGATGACCCATGTTCGAACTTATCCGAGCTATCACCTAGACAAACATCCTAACCAAGTTTGATGATGATTGGGTCAAAAAAGTGACCTCTAGAGTGTTCACAAGGTTTTTCTATTTTTAGCTCTTGTGACCTAGTTTTTCATCCGAGATGACCCATGTTCGAACTCATCCGAGCTTTCAACTAGATAAGCATCCTGACCAAGTTTGATGATGATTGAGGCAAAAATGCGACCGCTAGAGTGTTCACAAGCAATTGTGGACGGACGGACGGACGACGGACGACGGACATTCACCGATCCTAAAAGCTCACCCTGAGCAAGCTCAGGTGAGCTAAAAACTGAGAGTAAGTCTATTTGAGTAATGACGAAGAAGCATTTATCTATATCAAACTAGCATTTATGCTCATGTTTTAAAGTAATGATTTTATTGAATTAATTCGCACTAAGTATTAATTTCTTTTGAATTTGATAACCTACAACTTAACAGATACTTGCTATTCACAGCCCACAAAGAACGTTTGATCCGGACTATAACATGAATGCTCAAAGTTAGAACCTTTTGTCAAGAAAAATTTCATATGTATCAAATTCAAACTGTTAAAGCAAAATTTCTAGTTTCTAATTACTATTTTCTAGACGGTAAAAGTGTTTAATATTTTATCAAGTTGTCAATATATATCTAAAGGTTATTTTCTTTCAAGTTTATAATTGTTTTTTGTTGTTGGAAAAGATGTGTCATTTTTGAGCCTGTGAAAAGGTGAGTCACTTTTACGTAAATCGTATTTTAAAATAAAAATTTACAAAAGTTTAATTTAAAATTAATTCCTCTAATATCGCCTTGGTGATTGAAATTAGGGCAAAAATTCATTAGGAGGGGTGTGGACATAAACAAAAAAATAATATAGAAAAAAATGGATGGTGAAATTTTCTAATATTTGAAAAATAGATATGTTTTACTATATAGAAAAAATATGTAATGAAAAACTTTGATATCCTAATTTGGTTTCCCCTAAGGACCTGTAATCCGTAACACAGATACAGAATTATTCATCTTAGTGCATCCTTTATCACAAGTTAAAGGTCAAAGAAAAATTCAATAAAAACCTATGAGGAAATGATCCTCTATTTGTGACATTTATAAAATTACATCTGCTTCATATATTTTTTTCATCATCTCTTTATGTAAGCACTTAATTCCGGCAACTTCAAAAAATAAGAAAAAATTCAACAAGTCTGACTGGTGTTCGGATTTTAAAAGTTGCACTGTATTTATTCTGCTAAATAAATCTTGATAACGTCATCGGACATGGATTTTACGTCCTGTGTTAGAACAATGCGCTTTCGTAAATGCAACTTTCCTTATTTATTAAAGACAAACAAAAATTTGTCAATTGTTACTGGTATATCTGAACTTAACAACATATATTTTCAAAGAGAATTTTAATTAAGGCTTACCTTGTGACAGTGTAGAGTGGAAAACATGGCAGAGTAAACACAGAGACACCTGGAAAACAACCATATCTTAATACTTATTGTTAACAAGATAATATTAATATCGCAGATCATGTTATGCATAAAAAGAAACATGCACGACAGGTCTTCATTAATCTTTAGTAAATACATGTATGTGCAAATCTAATATATAGTTCTTACAATGATTCTGGTTCAGATGTAAATGCATCTCAATACTTATAACTGCAAATTTGCTCTTACTCAGCAACAATTAGTGTAGCCGCTTTTTTCATGACGAGACCAGTGCTGATAGTGGTAATTGTGATTGGTAGATTTTCATTAGGCGAGGTCAAGTATTTCTAAAGAAGCTGAAAACACTTATTATAATAAGCAATACGCACGTGAGGAAATATTCTAATTTATTACATACATTTTGAAGATAATACATATAAAGCTCGCAGAGACAAATAACACTTTTTGATAGCCTTTTAACTGTAAGAAAAAAATGTCTATTATGAATTGCTGAAAAAGGAAGCAAAACATTATTTTTTTTTCATGTGATACGTTCTCCACCTTTTGCATGTTTGGTTGTTTTGGCTCGATAACTCATTGCTATACATGCCAGGCTCAGTTATTTTATTTATTTCAGAGCATGGTAATTTCCTTAATGCTTCCTCAATGCTATCAACGGCCTACCTCTAATTGTTCAATACCAACAGTTATAGCATTTATACATTTTTCGGCAAAAAATAGTAAGTGAAGTCTGTAAGGAATTGAATTGTTTTTGAGGGAAACCTAATGATTCATACAATGTTAATTACAGTCTGAATTGCTTTAAAACATGTGCATATTATAACTAATTAAAGTTGTAAAACTAAATCCTACCATCTGGTGAGGCCTTTACCCATACATAATTAATCCATAACAAATACACATATATATGAAATTGTGTCGAGTGCAAAATTTAATATATGCACTGCGTGATTTGACGAATATTCTTTTATTTAAATTTCAAATGTCCTTTTCTTCTGTTGCTTTTGACAATTTGAACATTTATTGTCATTAAGTATTTTGTATAGGAATCAAAATACTGCTTTGTTTATATTGTCCACGTTTTATTTTACAATTAACAGGCATCTACCCAGCTCTAAAACCATAATTTAAACGTTATTAAACTTATGACCTTTCTAAAGATTTTTTTTTCATTTCTCAAGCATACTGTGCCTTTATGTACAACAATATATTCAACATATTTATTTAATAATGAGGCCCATAATAAACATTGCAACATGAGAAAAGATTCATTTTACGTCACACGATTAACATGCTTTGACATATAAAAAATAGGGTTTATATAACTACAGACAACGCGTATTGAATCAATATATGTGTAAAAATCATTCAAATTTGTTTGTCTATTATACCTTTTAACATCTAAATAACAAAAATTTAGTAAAGATTATACGAATAAAATCCTAACCCTTGTCATGCAATATTTAATAACAAAAATGATTCAATAAAGCAATGATTCAAACATGAGCCCAATGCAAAAAACAAAGAACATAAATATTGATACATTTACGTAAATATGTTTCTAAAACATTAGCTTTTGTGCCAGAAAGTTATTTAAATAATAAAGTATGAAAATCTGAGCTTTTTAATAGATACAAGAGCATAACTCACGAAAATAATATGTCCATGCATCATGTTAACTATTTGTATACTTAAAGCATTTTTTAAACTTTATATAAATTATATTAGGAAGTAAAATTCAGTGGTAGGCAATTAAATTTAGTTTGATATGTTTACTACACGGTTGAAAAAACAATCTAGTTTTACATTAACTATTTTATGTACGAAATATTTGATGATAAGAGTGATACCGCCTATGGTAGATACATGATAATCACGTGACAATTGCTTCATGTAATGTCGTATTATTTCGTATTGCATTGTCATGTTTCACTTGATGTCTAAGTTCGTGGCAACAATCCTAAACACGACTCTTGATTTTGCACGATATTCCTCATATTTGTATCACATTGTTACAGATATGTATCGTGTCATTAGTTCAAAAAGTCGGATTAAATGTCACTTTTAAGTCGACTCATTATATTCACTAACAATGTGAAGAATGAAAAACGACACGACACATGACATGCCACACGAGAAATGTCTAGCGACTCGCGATATGAAAAACGGACGGTAAACTGTTGCGGTAGGTAGGTAGGTAGGTACATTTTCGTGATATCATATCGTGTGTTGCTTTACATTTCATGTATCGATGGCAAATTGTAAATGGCGGTCTCAGAGAGATGTTATATGTACAATGTAGGTCTATTTTCTGAGTGAAAATTAGGTAAAATCAGTTTTTAATTGAATGGATAAAATGTTCAGCTTATTTTTGAGGTGACTCACAACAATACCCTTATCTTCTTTATGTATGCATGTACATCTATCATTAGGTTTCTTCTAACAGGTGCAATATTTGATGATATCGATTTTTTTGCGGCTGATATTCAATGTGGTTTTTATTCGGTTGGAACTAGCTTGTCAGCTTCATTTTAATACTGCCACAAATTGTTTAAGCATATATTTACCTAAGTACATATGATTAAACTTAATACAAATTTTCCTTATTCGTGTAACTTGTTAAAGTTTTTAAATCATTCAAACAGAAGTTATTTGCGGATGAAATGCATAGAGGAAATTTGTTTATTTTTGTATGGAATTAATTTTATTTCGTCGAGTAGCTTTAAAAAACAGTATTCTCACAAAAAGCTGTGCCACTCGTGAGAATACGAATTTTTAAGTTCACGAGATGAAATAAAGTTACATCTTACACAACAAACAAACAAATTTTCTTTGATTTATTGCTTTAATAAAATTTTAATTTAAATTTCTTCAATATAACTTGAATATGAAAAATTGTTTTTCCCACTGTTAGCCTCAATTTCAGACGAATTCCTCAAAAACAAATGAAGTCTAGGGAGCTAACAAATAAGTACACAATTACTTTAATAATATCTTTATTTAGAGAAGATAACACATTAAGAATATACAACACAATAGGGAAGTTAATATCAAACACAATAATATTGAGGTTCTCGTAGTCACTTAACGAATCTGCATGTCTGCAAACTTTTTACACACCGGATTGTTGTTGTTGTTTTTTGTTGCTCTTTTTTTTTCAATTTTGCGTACTGTATATCTTTGCCATTTGAAATATATGTCTTGTTTTGACAGGTTATTAATGAATATGGAATAATTCTTATTACACCTTTATTCTTTGAAACTATAGTTTATATAAATGTATATAGTTTTTATAATTTATTTTTATATTTCGTTACTTCTGATCTTTAAACCAACGGTAAACATCCTTTTTAAGCTGAAGGGTTTTATAACTTATACAAACGTAGATCAAAAACGATTAAATACAGCTACATCGAAAATTGTTTCATTCGTCATTTTTAATTATTCCTGAAGACTTTTTCAATAGGTCATAGATATTTCTTACCAAGCTGTAAAATGAATGTTTATTTAATAATAGCTTACATATAGAACCTTTCATTTAAGACCGGATTCAAGTTGTCGCCCTTGGATGACGTCATTGGGGGATACGGTGGACATTCACGATACGAATAAGTACATTATAAAGGGATATAAAGATCTTAATCCATACTCTTGTTAGATGGGCAGAATGAAATTGCCAAATTTTTGTGTTTTTGAATAAGATATGTCATAAAAATGATGGCCAAATGATTAAAAATGTTTATCATAATAAGGTTAACGATTTGTTTTAATACCAGACCATATTGCTGGGTAACTGATCATGGTTACCATTTTCATTTGATTCTTAATAATGAAAATTGTCACAGGCAGTTAAATGTACTAACTTGCTAATACCAGAGAATGATTTAGATAGTGTATCTATATGTCTCTGCTAATACACAGTACCCGAGAGATATTTTGAGTTTCAAAAATGTAAGTATTCTGTAGCTGCGTAATTGCAAGATACTGGCTGAATAAGTATTATTTTGATTTAAGCATTACTAAGACCAAGAAAAACACATTAATATAAATCTATGTAATTTTAAAAATGTTCAAAGCATAAAAAGTAAAAATTCTTTTGACTGTACATGACTGTATAGTATTTGTGTCGGCAAAAAAGGCACTCTTAAAAAATCGTACATCACGCTAATTGAATGCACTATATATTATATTTAAGCATGTATAAGTGATATTTTCACTTTAATAATTTTATTTAATTCATATTCTGCTAATCAATTTTTTAGAAAAAATAAATCATTAAAAAAATATGTTGTGAAAAACGTACACAGAAAATTCGTTATTAACTGAACTAAGATTTTACGTATTTTTGACTGTGCCAGTTGGTGGAGTCATTGTGGAGTATCAAATCAGTAAGGCCTGACCAATAAAGTCCTAAGGCTGATCCATAACCAAATTCGGATCATAAAAAAATTTGACAACAAACAAAAGTGACGTAATCTGATGTAATGTTATAACTCTAAAATATGTTCCCTGGCGTTTTATGATATCACAGCCAGATGCCGCTTGTGCATGTATATACAAAATATGCACCCTGTTGATAACTATGTTACAGCCCAGTGGCGCTTATATGAACAAATCTTTTTAATTATTATATAAGTTACTGGGAAAAGGTTTTTATTTTCATTATCATAAGAATAGATTTGTAATATCAAAATTATCTTATTATCGTCTGTTGCGAATCTTACGTGTACGTTATTAAATTCATTGCCACATGGTTTTCGTTCTTTCAGGAATATTTATAAAATTATATCCTTCACTGGATGTTTTTACAATTTTTTACATGGCATAATGAAATAAAATCAATAAGTGTTGACATAATGCATTTTGCTATTGTTCTAAAGCTTGGAAAATAATCATTAAAAAACATTGACAATTATTTTCATGATTGTCACAAAAACGCCGGAATTTTCTAAATTACAGAAAATCACACAGAAAACTAGAAAATGACCATATAAATTTATATTTGGTGTATGGGTGTTTATATAATATTAAAAATTTATTTATTTACTTGCTTTTTGATCTGGCATGAGAGAAAATCAAATAGATATTTTCACTTTGAAATGCCGCTGTTTTACCCCGTAGCAAGAATTAATCTTTGTTTTTGTATTTGTTTTTTTTATTTTCTTGATATGATAATGGATATGAAATTTATGTGTGCAAAAATAAAAATTTTCATGTTATAATCTTAATTGAACGATTAGTATTTACGCATTTAACTTTCAATAAGCTGACATTCTACGCGGTTTGTATATTTCAATCCCCCATTTACGTCACATCCGGTAAGGGAAGTAACTCTACCTCGACGCTGATCGCTGAAATGAAAGGGTCTATACATGCTTCTGATGTTCAGTAAATAAACTGACATGAACTACTTATTATCAAATATATCAGCTTCATCTTTTAGTGTAAAGTCGTTTATAAACTATTATTATTATAATATTTTTAACTTCCCGTTTAGTGTAAGTGCACTTTCTTTATAATTATATATATATTAAGTAACAAGAAATATTAGTCACAAAAAGAGTTACAATTATAATCAGGAAGTAGACTTTCACGAAAGCATATAGGAGCCATATTGTCCCTGCTTCCGTCCCTCCGGTACAGTCTTGTATTTAGTAAAACTTCTAAACTATTAATAATTTCATCGAAGTTTCAAACATCTATAGATACTTATTGAAGGCACTGCAGTGTCATAGACTTCCCTTTAAAATACTAACTACTTAAAAAAGAGTTTTTGTTATTTGTAAATTGTCATACACATGTCACCGACCGACCGACCGACCGACCGACCTACCTACATACTTATTTACTTTTCTACTCACACACTCAGTCACTCCCTCGGAGAAAAGCATGAAATGCTTGGTGGGATCTGATTTTAAATCTTCACACAGTGATAGAGACAAATGAGAGAAAATGCATTGTCCAATGATATTTTGTAATTAAATCCATTGCAATTTGATCTTTAATTGGGTTAAATTAAGTTGAATAATTCTTGTATGGAGTATAACTTACAAACTATAAATATTTTGTTAGAAATTCACACATTTGTAAAGGGTAGGGAGGGAAATGCCGTGGTAACCAACTATAATTTTACCTTTCTTAGTTTTGGAGTCATTTACCTTAAGTTTATAATACGAATCTATTCAAACTTCACAGATAATATGATAATAGAGGTTAAGTACGGTGCCCTTGAACCCCCATTCTACCTCGCTGTATTTTTAATTATCTCCTGGAAGCTAATACGAAAAGTTGTATAATTTCATAACGTCAACAGTTTGTTGCTTAAATGTCTATTTATAATACATCATAATTCATGAAAGACGAAACAAACATAGAAATTTGATATCTTGGTTGGTTCTGAACCTTTCAGTGAAGGAGTGTTCAATAAGGTCAATGATGTCATTCATATTTGGTAAATAAATATCTATCTAAGTTTTACTTCGGTAAATGTAACTGATCTTCATTTCTCATATTTTTTCACTAATGTGTATTAACATTCATTTAGAAATGTGCAGCTGTAAAGGGACTCCACTGAGGTTTTTTGACATGCTGGGACTGAAAATATTTTTTTCCAGATAAATGTACCATTTGATGTAGGTGTAGACCACAAATCTTTGTGCAAACTTTCAGATCATTCGCGCACTTCCATAATAATTATTCAGATTATAAAAAAATGACCAAAAATGATAAGCGTTTAAACGCTTTTCACTCAAATTAGGCTAAGAAAAGCATAAAACTACGATTTTCGATTTATTTTAAAGTATATTTCTTAACAATCTCTGCATATATTTCTGTTTAAAGCGCCCCAGTTCATTTATGTAAGAAATTCTAATGTTATGTTTTTTAGGCTTTTAAACCTCAGTGGTTTCCCTTTAAACGATATTCTTGTTCAAATTTAAAGTAAAATTAAGAAATTTATCGCGGCGTATAAATCATTAAAATATTTACAATTAATCTTATGGATATACCTAGTTAAGAAACTGTGCAGTTTACTAATATTACAAATATAGATATTGGGTTAAACAAATATGATTACAAACATATGAGACAACAAATCGTTCAATATGTATGAAGAGTAATCCTTACTGGACTAGACAATCGAAAATAATATTATTATCATTATCAAACACATGTCATGATAAAGTAAGTATGCCTGAAGAAATTGATAGATTTTCTAATATGATTTGCAACAAATGTATTATTTAACAGCAAGTTATATTAAGTCATCCTCGGTAATCCAGGCAATTTATCATAGAACAGTATTGAATGTAGAATATGCGGAATGTGTACCGTGGGTTCCGGTGAATTTTCTTAAAGGTCCATTATGTCCCCAAAAAAACTTTTATTTTTCAAAAGTTTTTACATTTGGTGATGTTTAATAGTTTTGAAAAAGTAACTGTCTGGCCAATGACCTTCCTTTTTTTTCTTTTGTTGCTTTTTTGCTATAAGTACAGTTATGGTGACTTACTATTTTGAATGGAATTCGAAATTATACTACTTTATTTACATTTTGCTATTTCTGTGACAAACTACACCACATTTATTGGAATTTTCTACTGGTAAAAAGCACATAACATGCTCTAAAACCCATTATTTAAACGTTATGAAATTCTGAAGAAGTCAAACTTTATTCATTTCTGAGGCATGATGTGCCTTTAAATGAGTTACTCATATACTCATATACAATTAATGTTTTATCGGTTAACACGTGACACAATTTAAAAGATAGTTTTTTAAATGAATAATCAGTTATTGGTTCAATAAAAATAATCAGCAAATAAAATGTTTATACAAATCATATTTAAATGATTAGATTATGTAATTATACAGATATAACAGAACGTTTGATGTTTTAAAATATACGAAAATACGCATATTTCACTTTAATATCTTATAATTTTTTTAACTTTTTTAAAAAGAAGATAAAATTATATCTAATTTGACTACAATCATATGCTTGAGCAATCACATAAAATTGGGTCACTTCCTTTTTTTATTAATACAAAACACGTAGTAAAATTGTGTTTTACGTCTCTCTAAATTTATATGTTTTGAAAATGTAGAAATGAGTTTAACTTTTGTTAACCTTGTTTTTTTTTTCAAAGTCCAAAGCTATGATTTAACCACTTAAATAGATAGATAATAAGAAATTAAATAATAAACATTCAGTGGATACAAATAAAAATATTTGTAAACACGTACTTTTGAACAGTACATACGATATATACTTTTATTGTATCATAGTTTGGGGACCTTTCTGTTGAAAATGTGTCAGAGTTAAATCGTATAAATCATATACATGCACAGTGCGTTAACTGGAGTGCAGGTTTTAGTTACCCGCACTCCAGAGCATGCCCATTGATTGGCTCTTTTTTGCTGGGGTTTACTTATTGTGACAGGAGAGAAAGGGAATGCGACAAAAATATCATATTCAGATGCTCGTACATTGGTTACTTTTTCCGGGGTTTCATATTGTGACAACAGGGAACGCGTTTTTATATTTGACTATGATACAAAAGAGAAAGAACACCAAAACACTCGGCAATCTGATTTATACTCGGGGGCTACGCCCCCCCCCCCCCTCGTACAAATCAGATAGCGTCGTGTTTAGGTGCTCTTTCTATTACATGGTAGCTGGAAAACAAGTTTAATAATATAATGATTATACACGCTTCGTATGGGTAGGTATGTATTTATTAAATGTAAATAGCAATGTAAAGAACGAATAATGTTTAGGTATATTTTTACTTCCTTGTGTAGTTTAGTAAGGTTTATAAATGAATGTTTATAGATATCTATTTTATACATTCGTCTGTAAGATAGCATGATGAAAGGATATATGCTTTTCGTGAGTAATAATTACACTATTATTTAAAAGAAATATCTGATAAAAGGTTACATATCTTTAGAAAGTTGGAGAAACTTTTGCAATACATCTTTGTCACTTTGTATGTTTCTTGTTGTTGTTGTTGCTGTTTTTTTTTTGTTTTTGTTTTTTTTGTATTTGTTTATCTTTGCTTTTTTTATAGTCTGTTATCGGGAAACGATAACTTAACATATTATCATTGGATAACTTGCCTTTACCACATTTGTTGCCGTATTTTGAGATGTTACATGACTGGACTAGTTTCAGGGTGACATTACAGATAAAATCACAACTTAAATGAAGTATTTAACTTATAGATAAAATATGCTTCGTTTATCAAGATATTGTATTTAAACACATGTCTGCGTACATAGCCCTCATAAATATAATATATAATAAATATAGGCCTATAAAATTGTTACATGCGTTTCCAGATCTGAAGTCTCCAAATCTGAAAGTCAGAGGAAATTACTTTTAATTAGATCTAATAAATCTGATTCTTTAATGTGATTTGTCATAATGTAGCACAAATCTTATGTGAAAAAGGTTTTAAGAAACCAGCTTAGTCATGAACACCAAAAGTTAATCGTACGATGTTATTGCTTATTTTTTCTGTCTAATATCTGCTTGCCAATAAGTCTATCGGAATATTACATTATACTGATGACCCCCCCCCCCTCCTTCTTTTGTCTTTTTGTTTTCTTCAAAATTTATTATGAGGGCCACGTACTGAACGTAACCTTTCATCACTTATGTTGTCACGATTCTCCGCATATTATAAGCATAAAACGATTCGGCTGAGAAGGTTAATGTATTTTAACAAATTATTAACTTAAAAACATGTATATTAAATACTTTTATTTTCCGAGTCGCCGAATTGAGCGAAATTATTAAGTTTGACAACTTTTTAGAATATTTTACTATGATTATTTAAACAAGAATAATTCAAATGCAAAATAAATTCAGTATGATAAACAAAATTATGTTATACAGGAAAAAGCGACATTTTATGCATGAATACGGCAGATTATATTGACAGAACTTGAATAAAATAATTCTTCAGTTTTCGGTTCAAAGGGTCTAACACAGGAAACGTCCTGGTGTCAATTTATAATGTTACATAAAACTTATCTTAAGAGTTATAATGTACTACGTATGAGTAATAGAGTCTACTTAGGAGTTATTTTTTATCTCCTTTGAAGTAGTTATTTTTATAGAATATTATAAATTTGCACCAGGAAGCTTCCGTACTAAACTAAGCATTTTATATCACTTGAAATATCATTTATAATTCGCATAAAGGAAAAAAAAACATTATCGCAGATCGGTGGCCACAGGATTCAAGTGCAGGTGCTGATAGAAGTATTATTTATAAAAATGTGCTTTGTGTACTTTGTTGTAAATTTCGCTTTTCTTTTTCGTTATTTAATACTTTCATATCTTTAAATAATTATTGTTCGGTAAAACTTTGATTTTATTTTATTCCGTAATCTCTAGTGTACATGCAGCAATTTTGAATTTATTCAATATATAACCGGTCCTATGTCAAAATATATTCAAAATATTTATAAATGGTTCTTTATTACTTTCATTGCGTCATATTGACTTATTCCATTTAGAAAATGTTAACATTTCTATGTATTCATCTTGCATTCGATAAAATTGTTCAAGATTCTATTGTTTTTTCCAATATTGCCCGACATTTTTGACTCGAAAAATGTCTTTTCCATATATTGACATGAACATTAATTTCCGTTCATATATCTTATGGTTGAACGGCATATTTATGTTCCTCGACAATTACTCATTATGTACATAGACAAATACATTAATATTCATTCATTAGACAATGATAGAACCAAGGATGGCTCACATAATAAAAATGATTTATTTTATCAAAGAAGTCAAATAAAATGAACGAATGCTTATGTTCCAAAATGCATATCCCTAGAAGTTCTCTGAGTTATGCTTATATACATGTATTTGCACTGTGATTAATTGATTATGAAGTGAAAATCGGGAAACAAACACATCGAACTTTAAAATTTTGATTTACTTTGAAACTTTATCCATGAATAGAAAATAGAAAAGTTGACTTGCGTTATGTAATTTTTCAAGGGTTCATCAATGAATTTTTTTAACAACTTTTATTTAGCCGTATGAAGCGTCTGCTATTAGAATCTACTAAATAAACACACGTAATAGGCATTGTATTAATATGGTATGTGCATTTTAAATCATAACTGACACGTACATATCGGGTCATAAAGAACCATGTAAAGTTAGTATAAATTCTTTAATTAGAATTTGTAAAACAGCTTGTAAAACTTCCTACATGAATTACTAATTTTAATTATATTACACATTCATTTATCTGAATTAAATCTCTATTACTTTTACACCTTAACATTTTTTTTTTCATTTCATGCTGGTACTAAAGGGCTTTGACGGTAACTAGCAACTACCTCTATCGTCTATGGACATGCTCGATTAAACCGAGCCTGCATAAAAATTTCACTGTTGCCTTTTTGGATATTTTTTAGGGATTTTTCTCTGTACTTATATAGATTCTGCCTTGTAGTTATAAACCGCAATGATACAGAGAGCCGACAAACTTAATGCTGTTTAGGGCAAATTTTTTGTTAATTTTCTCTTTTTTTCTTCTTTTTCTTACATGCATTTGGTATATTCAGTTAAACAACTACTTTTATAATTATTAAGTGTTATTCCTCAATGCAGTAAACTTGTACTATCTATGCCATTTATGGGCTTGCACTCATCTGCAATTGTTAAATATTTTCATCTGTAACAGTATTTTAGTTACATTAACAGATGTTAGATATTTCCTTACGAATTGTTTGTTCATTTTGATAAGTTATTGTATTTGTCACTAATACACTGAAAGTTTAATACCCCACCTACCCCCCCCCCCCCCCGGGTGTATTGATAAAGTGGTTTGGGTTCTTTATCTTTATTATGTCATTTTTATAAAAGAAAATTTCGTACTTGATGACATTTTAGAAAACAACAATCTTTCAATCCAGTGACTCAATATGAAAGGACGAAAATGTGTGTCATTTTAAATACTGGATGATAAGTAAGATTTATTCTATCAAAGAAGTCAAATAAAAGGAAGTAAGGATTAAGGTCCAAAATGCATATCCATAGAAGTACCCTGAGTTGTGCTTATTGTATTTGCACTGTGATTAATGATTTTATTAATAATTATCAAAACAAATCTGGAAACAAAAACAAAAAACCACTCACAAACGAACTTAAAACTAATGATTTACTTTGAATTACTTTGAAACTTTATCCATGAATAGAAAAGTTGACTGTTTAATAAGGTAATGTAATTTGTAATTTTTCAAGGATTCATCAATTAATTTTAATGAGCCGTAGAAGCGTTTGGTAATATAATATTTTTCATATCTTCAAAATAAACAAACTTAATAGACATAGTATTAACAAATTATGTGCATTTTAAATAATAGCTGACTTAAGCACCTGTTGGGTTATAAAGTACCATGACAATATAGTATAAAGTTTTGAAGTACAGTTTGTTAAAAGGCTAATAACACTTCCTACTTAAATTATTCATGTTAATTTAATTTTAACATACATTTATCTGTATTAATTAAATAAAAGTTATCTGTATTAAAAAAAACTATAACTTTTACACCTTAACTTTTTTTTCTTTTTTCATTTCATGCTGGTACTAAAGGACTTGAACGGTAACTAGCAACTACCTCTTCCGTCTATGGACAGACTCGATTAAACAGAGCCTGCATTAAAAATTCAATTTTGCCTTTTTGGGTGCTTTTTAGGAATTTTTCTGTTCTTATATAGATCCTGCCTTGTAGTTATAAAGCACAATGATACACAGAGCGCCGACAAACTAAATTCTGTTTAGGGCAAATTCATCTTTTTGATAGTTCTCTTTTCTGTTTTCTTTCTTTTTCTCATAGGCATTTGGTATATTTATATATTAAACAACTAATACAATGAGTTTTACAAAAAATTGTAAACAAAAATACAGTGACTCATTTCTCAGTTTAAGTTTATAAAATCAATATGCTTAAACAATTAATTCCTTGTTTTATAAAACAAAGTTTAGTTGAGGCTGATAGCTGGTTTAAATCACTGAATTTGTTTAACTGATCATAATTAAATGATGTTCCCTTCGTTGTTTTTGTTTATTTTAGATTCTTACAACATAAAAGAAACACCGAGTCCCTACGTTCTAAATGATTTTATGATCTTATTCAAGCTACTCAATTCCTAATTTCAAAATTTTATCAAGAATTTGTATCATAATTCTTGGGAACTAGAAAAACACATAGTCGTGAGATAAATATATTATTTTATTATTAATTAGAAACGAGAGTTATTTTATTATTAATTAGAAACATCTTAAAGGTACATACAAATTTTAAAGTGCTTATCTGACACTTTTCTGACATACACATTTTATATATCAAATATGTATTCATGTATAATATTAATTCAATAAATACCACACAGTGTTTAAAAACCCCGTCGCCGGCGGGACCTACACATATATTTTATGTAGAGTTGAAAAACTTGCAGCCGATGAAAAAATTTACTACAAGTTATCAACCGCTTTTAAGAATTATTATAACATCCAATCCTAGAGAGAACATTTGTATAATAAATGTTCATCTTCTGGGAAAATTCACTTCGTTTGTAGTTGTGGATATGCTAATGTTTTTGTTTACTTCATATGGCTGAGCTCTGAGTTGACTTCAAATTCAAATTTAAATTTTTTATATCCATGAATATTTTACTATTTCAAGCTCTGAAAACTTGTTTTATCTTTTAACAGTTTGCTACTATTGAAGCAAACGTGTACATATATATAGAATACTATTCCCAATTTTAGCAATACATACATGTCATGTGAATCAATGGGTATCGTTTTATTGCCATATTTAAGGTTTTCCTTAACATACGAGTACGTC